GTGGACCGTAAATGAAGTGTTACACCAAAATCCAGATGGCCCCCCCCCCCCCACAGTAAAAGATCCCGAGTCTTCTAATATGTGTAAGCAGCAAAAATTTTTTAGGGGGTCTTGTATTAGGACTTTCGTATTTTTGCGAAATTCAAGAATATTTTCGAAGAATTCAGTAAATGCAACTTTATACTGAGGTTCTACGGCTTCTCAGCGCCTGTCATAGTAGCAAGAAGCTGAAAAAAGCACCAATTTATCTTCGCAGTGCAACAAACAACACTGAGTAACTAAGATCAGCGACTATGTTATTTTAAAATTCTATTATTTCTAGTTTGGTGGAATTGATGTATATTTTCAAAGAAAAAAGTGAGCGTAAGTTTTAATTTCGAGGTTCTGCGGCTCCTCCCCTTCTCTTCCCAATACAGACAATCCCACATTACAGACAGTTCGCCATTACAGAACTCAGCAACTGTGCATAGAAGTCTTTTAGATTTTATATAATATATCAGTGCTTTCGTAAATATTCGAAAAAAACCTACTTTGAAGTTTAAAAATCAGACATCAGGATAACAGCTTTAAAAAATATACGGAAGTTCCATATTTTAGCTCTTCTTGGACTGCGCTAGCAAGCTTTCTGTTGTAAATATCATGTTTTTAAGCTTTGTATAACTCACGTATATTTTGGAAAAAATAATAGTAACCGTAAGTTTGAGTCAAGGCTTTTCAGCTTGTTCCGTTTTCGCAATACATGTAGTAGCAGTCACTTAGATTTAAAAGGTTATGGAAATTTCTGGAGTATTNTTTATTAAAAGACAACAATCGAATTTTTTTTCTAATCTAACAATGTTCAAATTTGCAGCAATTTCTTTGATCAATTCAAACTGTTTGTCTTTGTTTGCGGGCAACGCTTTTAAAATTCTGTTCAAAGCTTTAGATTTAGATTGTTTCGTTCGAAATGATGATTCAGGTGGTGATGGTCGAGTTGGATTTAATTTTGATTTTGATTTTGAACGAAATTTACGAAGATTAGTTTGTTGACGTACACGTAATTTTTTTAATTTAGCTGGTGGCATTTTTGAACGAGCAAGTCGTTTACGTTCACAATCTTGCTGTTTTATTAATTCGTGTAAACCTGCTGCTTTCTTTTTCTCTCGACAACGTCGGGCTCTCTCAGCACCGGAGAGAGCCATCAAATAAGAAAGAGCTAGTGGTTTATCTAAAAGATGAAAGATCAAAAAAGCTGGTGAATAATTATGTGACTAAGTCACCAAAATGTATTAAAAAAACAACGAATATACCATGAATTCATTGTACAGTACGCATATGAAAATAATACAAATATAACTTTGTGTATGCAATAAAAAAAAAACTATGTTAAATTTTAAAACGAGTATATAGTATTCTGTGTTATATGAAATTCCGTAACGAAGTATTTTGAATATAAATACACAAAACTAGAACCGATGATCAATAAAAAGTAGTCCATTCGATAGATCTCGAAAAGATCTATCCAGTGATGTCATTTTTAAAAAATGAATTTGTAACCTAAGAGAAGAAAACACATTATAACCATTTTTCGTTATGGAATTTCATGAAAAACTCAGTTGTTTTCTGAAGAATTGATAAATCTATGCAAAAATTGGATTCTTTTGGAAAGCTTCTATTTTGAAAGAACATATCTTCTTCTATCTATCAATATGAAATTTGATTCAATTCAGCTTTAATATGAACACTTTTTAACCGTTAGCTTATGATGATCTAGAGATGTCGTTTTATGATAAGTTCATTGGAGAAAAGAACAGCGCCACTGTCATTTAATGACTATATATTCCGTGACTAATGACACTTTTTCTTTACACTATTAAATGTACTCTATTCCATAGTATAGTCATTTTTTTTCAATCTTGAATTCAAACCTTCCCCAACGAAGGGGACCGATGGCTGGCCGTGCCCATATCCTTTATTTACTTTACCGTCAGGTGTGATGAAAGCAATAGATATCTTTTTAAATAAAAGTTAATTGAAAAAATCGAAGCAATTTATCAAAAATAAATAAAATATCTTAGAAATTGCGATAATGTTAGATCAGATTGGCGATAAAGCAATGAATAATGTTTAAAGTAATCAGGGAATAAATCGCGATTTATCGTAATAATCGCTAAAAATATCATTAAAAATCGGCGATTAATCGTGTTTCGGCTCACGATTATCGTTTCGATATATCGCGATTAATCAGTAATTTTTCAGCGATTTTTACGACATAGGTTACGACATTCCTTATAACAAGGCATAGACAAATCCGATACCAAATTAACTCGAGGGTGAATGTGGGTATGATTGAAAAGAAGGCTAACACCTACACTTCACACTCACAGCCACACCCTTATTACTTTTTCTTATCAACTTACAGAAAAGTTGTCTAATGTTTATAATCATGTAAGTTTCATCTATCTAAGAATTAGATGAAATATGAAATTATTTTTACTACAATCAAAGTCTAATTGCCGTCCATAATCAAATTTTCTTGTAGGTTCCTCCTAAAATTCATATTTATTAGTTATTGTTCACTATTGAATAATATCTACTATTGCACATCGTATAGAAATGAATATTAGTGTATATGCTTTGTATTAACATAATTTCATGCTGCAAATGTGCCTTTTTCTATTTACAATTAGTCCTCTTGCTTATTATTTACCTAGCATTTTTTACTACTGCTGTGTAGAGTCCTTCAAAAAGCAGTGTGTAGATGAAAAGAATTTTAAAAAATACGAAAAAGAGGTAAGAAGAGATCGAATTGCTGCTGTGAGGCAAAAATGCGAAAAAAAATTACTTGATAACGAAAGCATTCGTCGGGCTTACACAACACTCAAGCAAGTCAAAAGAAACCATCAGTAAAATTGACTTGGTATGGTTTGCTTTCACCATTTGACTCTAATGAGCATCTTATTAGGAAAATTTCTAAGACCAAAGAGAATATTTCAAACGTCATAAACAGAGACAATTAAATTCAAGACTTCGTTTCATCAAATGTTCGAAGTAGTTTCCCTAGTAATTTCCATTAAATTAAATTGGTTCAACTCACTAGTTGTTCCAAGAAACAATCGATTAATTCAGGCTAAAAAAAAGCAAACGTGTCATACAAAGTCCCTATCAGATTCCGAATTTTTTTCAAACAATTAAAAGGTTTTTAGAGTTTTGCATAGATTCATTTTTTTTTTGTCTTCTAAAAAGACGGCTCTCTGGTATGATTTGTCCACTAGATTCAATATCCTATTAATAACCTTAGCAATGCTAAGCAATAAAATTTTCTCGAAAATCGATACCTTGAAAAAGGTTCTCTAAAAAAACCTAAGGTTCTTCAAAATGATTGTGAGTGGTTGAAAAAGCGTTTTCAAGCCCTTCTAGTTTTGCTTAAGAAACAGCTTAAATGGATCAGATTTTGCTTCAAAAGTCGGTACCTTTTTAGGCTTCGTAACGTGCTCAAAAATCTTTTCAGGTTTCAACACATTCTCAAACAACATTTTAGGTTTCATAGTCATTGCGAATACTTCAAATGATTCAGTATCATGGGATTTTTTTTCGGTGAAACTTTACGAAAACAACATTGAAATTCATATAGGTTATTGGATTTCTATTATTAACAACTCTTATTTTAGTCTATCCAAGGAAAAAAACACGAAACCCTGAACTCTTGAATTCTTCCGAATTTCCTAAGATTTCCTCGGACTTCCTAGAATTCTACTCAATTACTTTCAAAGGGTTCGGGTGTGGCTTTTCTATCATCCACACCATTGTGGACAATTCTAACCACTTCATGCATACACAAATGAGCATCGACACCTGTAGTCCATTTGAAATGTATTCTGCTTTACAAATATTTGTTTTCTGTTTGCCATCATTTTTAGACTACTCTCTATATGAAGTATTTAACTGTTATCAAGAGCATGTCTTCTCAAGAAGCATGTGCTTGACAGCAATAAAAGACATAAGATAAGCAAAGCTTATTTTATGTTGCACAAGTAACAAAAGAGTTTCTTAGATAAACAAGTTGCGCGTCTCACATACACATAACTCACCCAATCTGGAAACCATCGTTATTGAAATACTTCATTTTGAGTAAACCCCCCCACAATAAAAGATCTCGAGTCTTCTATTATGTGTAAGCGGAAAAATTTTTTAGGGGGGTCTTGTATTACGACTCTCGTATTTTTGCGAAATTCAAGAGTGTTTTCGAAGAATTCGGTAAATGCAAGTTTAGACTGAGACTCTACGGCTTCTCAGCTCCTATCATAGTAGCCAGAAGCTGGGAAAAGCATCAATTTATCTCCCCAAAGCAACAAACAATACTGAGTGATTAAGATCAGCCACTTTATTTTAAAATTCTGTTATTTCTAGTTTTGTGGAATTGACGTATATTTTCAAAGAAAATAGTGAGCGTAAGTTTTCATTTCGAGGTTTTGCGGCTCCTTCCCTCCCCTCCCCATTACAGATACTTAGCAACAGAGCAAGAGAACATTACAGACATACCCCCATTACAGACAACCCCACATTACAGACAGGTCACCATTACAGAACTCGGCAACCGCGCATAGAAGGCTTTAGATTCTATATAACAGAGGTCCAAACAGGCCTCGTTTTTTAGGCCTGTACGGCCTGTCAAATTTTTCCAGTGGGCACAATAATGATGACAGACTAGAAACCATATATCCAAAGAGGGAACTAGGTCTATTACTCAACCCGATCCTGACCCGACTGTCATAGGCGTCACCCATGGTTTTCCGACTAGTGAAAGTCAGAGGTTCAAGCAATTTTTGGCCTGTCGGCCTGTCTGGGTCTGTCACTTTCATTAGTCAGAAAACCATGGGTGATGCCTATGACAATCGGGTCAGGATCGGGTTGAGCAATAGACCCAGTGCTCTCTTTGGATATATGGTTTCTAGTCTGTCATAATTATTGTACACACTCGAAAAATTTGACAGGCCGTACAGGCCTAAAAGAAGAGGCCTGTTTGGACCTCTGATATATAATATATCAGTGCTTTCATAAATATTCGAAAAAAAGCTATTTTGAAGTTTAAAAATCAGGCATCAGGATAACAACTTTAAAAGATATACGGGAGTTCCACATTTTAGCTCATTTCGGGCTGCGCTAGCAAGCTTTCTGTTCTAAATATTATGTTTTTAAGCTTTGTATAGCTCACGTATATTTTCGAAGAAACTAATAGTAACCGTAAGTTTGAGTCAAGGTTTTTCAGCTTGTTTCGTTTTCCCAATAGATGTAGTAGCAATCGCTTAGATTTAAAAGGTTATGGAAATTTCTGGAATATTTTAATTATCCATAGTTCAGATATTGTTATGAGTATTAGCAAAAAGCTAGCCTTCTCTTTTTGCGCAGATGAAAGTTTATACGATCCATGAGAAAGATAATATTTTGTGATTTTTCATAACTGTAGTATAAGTTGCATAAAAGCATGATTACACTACTGCCTAATTTTTACAAATATTTATTTTGTGTCTTACTCCGTACATCAATATGCATGCAAGATTGTTAGGATCTGGAGAAGATACAACCAATGTCTATACTAAGCTGATCTAATTATTAAATTAAAACGTGAGTCGAATAATATCAAATAATTATAATCTCGATTAACAGAGGAGTAACACGGTGAAGAGCGACAAGAAAAAAATCACGTATTGGGAAAAAATGTTTGAAATGTACGAATAGAAACTGCTATATATATATTAACCACTGTGATCAATGGTTTTTTAGAAGTTTAGCATTCTGCGTTGGTTTTATTAGTATTATGAACATATTCAAGAAATCTGATAAGTGGAGCGAAGGGAGATTTCGTAATTCGAAATAAAATAGTTTCGTTGGGATAATGTTTTACAGTGTATGCTTTAACTCAAGTGATAGAATTAGTTGCAATCTATCCTTTTATTTGATGTCTTTTGGTGATAAACTTTTCCATACATTTCTAGGAATATAATATAAATTTATCGCAGTCTAAGCCTAATAAGTACTAAAATTTGGCTCCACAACATCGACGCTAATCAGTTTTTGTAATTAAAAGAATCCTCTGAGAAAATCGAAGCGATTTTGAAAATTGGAGAAAGGATTTACACGATTTTTGAAGCTTATATATAGAGTTGAACTCATGGATTTGAAAATTTTCAGCTGAAAACTC